TATATATATATATATATATAAATTTTGACTTGCTTTTTATGTGGGGGTGAGGAGTGAGGAGATAGAGTGGTGGAGAACTTATTACACTTACTTAACTGGTCACTTTAGAAAGTTAACATCAGCTTCTCTTTTGTCACATAGCCTTACTGAGAATCAAAAGCATTCAGGTTTATCTTATAAAAGTTGGACTTTACATTTATCAGTCAAGATGAATTTGCATGGATGGATGGGAGTTTTGCACACTTGGAAACATACTGATGTAAAACACTACACTTGTGGGTACTTAAGAAAAACAGATTTGGCATGTGAATGCATATGTTGTACATTTTAATGTGCTTTCCTCCTGTAGTTATATATTGATGTTACATTTCGAAATTATATTCTGTTAAGCATCTAAGTAATGGTGGAATTGAGTGAAAATTACATGTATTTCAAACACTGAAGATTTTGTACAAATCTGTCATATTCCAAACCCAGGAGTGATTTGATTCCTAAATAATATACCACTAATCTTACAATTTCTGTTCTAGTCCAATGCGAAAAAAGCTAGTGTTAAAATTCTGAAAAATTTTGATGAAGCAATAATTGTGGATGCTGCAAGCCTGGATCCAGAATCTTTGTATCAACGGACATATGCAGGGTAAGCTTGGCACATGTCTAGAATGTTTCACATCTTTTTGTATTTTAATCTAACGTATTCTTAATCTATTATTATATGCCCAGAACTTTTACATATAGTATGCAGTAGAACATGGTTAAGAGTGAAGGCTCAGGAATGACTTCCTGGATTTTAGTCTTGGCTCAGTCACTTTTTAGCAAGCTCTTTGTGTCTCAGTTTTTCATTTGTAAAGTGAGGATAATGTTACCGTTCCATTGGGTTGTGGAGGGGATTAAATGAGATAACACATAAAAGCATTTAGCATATGGCCTGATATCTAGTAAGCACTCCACAAATATTACTACCATCATTATTCCATTGCCATAAACGAGATTGATGAGGGTCATGTTTATATGATATGTTTTGGGCTGTCTCATCCATATTTCATTTGATTCATATGTTAGCAATTTTAAAGTTCTTGTCTTAAAAGCAGAAATAAAAATACAAAGATGCCAATATCATTTATATGGACTGTATAACTAATACTTGGAAAATAAAATAAACTTATTCCTTTGTATTTGAGAATTAACTTGGTTGTTGATTTCATCCTATAACAAAAAGACAGTGATTCATAGGATATGCCACTTATTAAACTTGACCACAGACAGATCAAATCATAAAACCACTCCTCTTCCCTAAAGATGGCTTGGTTAGCACATACGCCTGTGGAAAGGCTGGTTCTACACCCCAGTCCCAGCCCCATCAGTACCGTAAAGGGGTTTCCACGTGTTTAATTGCTTTTATCTGAAAGTAAGTGATAGTTGGTAGACCAGGGAGTCTGAAAGGTACTTTGAAGTAAATGAAAGATTATTTGACCACATTGTTTTTGGAAAGCACGCCTCAGCTGTGTCAGCATTGTCGTAATCTTTAGTTCTTTTAGGAAATGGTGGACAATAAGCCTAAGTGCTAAATTCCAAAGGTGATAATTATTCTTAAAGGAATGGTTGGTCCATTTATTTAAAACCTTGCTTAAGAAAGTATCAGTTGCAAGATGTTTACTTCTGTAGGTGTTTTTGCGTGTAAAATAGAATAATTTTTTTTGTGAATTTTATTTTTGTAATTTAATTTACTTTTTCCCCCATCACCATTTATCCCCTCTGTGTGCCCTTCCACCTCCACCCCCCGCCCCCACAATCACCACACTGTTGTCCATGTCCATGAACTCTCTCCTTTTTTTTCCTAATTTATAAAATGGGTAATAAGTAGAGATGATTTTTCTCCATTTTTAAAGATAGTTTCCATTGTTTGTTTTAATTTTATGATTTTAGCATCTTCCTGAAATTTTTCTCAAGGCAAACAAATTTGTATCAGTTGGGGTAGTGGGCCCGTGTATGAAGTGGTGACTTCCTAGGAAAGACACCTCTAAAATAAGATCTACTTTGCCTGCAAGGAGATACTATATAGACATCATAAAATTTGTTTTTCTTCTTTTAACTTACTTTTAATTACAAATACATTAATCTCTTATGAAAATTAGATTTATAGGTAAGGCTAATGTCCCTTTGATCACACACCTATGCTTATTTTCTCTGCTTACTCATTGTTATGGTGTGTTTTTGTTTGCCTGCTTTCATGTAGTTGATATTCCACTGTATTCTGTATCTTGTGCTTTCTTTCATTCATAATGAGTTTTGTAGATTTTTCTGTTAGACTGTATAGATTTAACTCATTTAGCTGTGTTGGAGTTTCTCTATGTAATATTAATTATAGCTTATAACTGTGATAAAATATTCCGCTTAATGTGCTGTGCCACTGTTTGGTCATTTTGATACTGAGTATTTCAGTAGTTTTTGGTTTTTCACTGGTACACCTAGTATAGCAGAGCACTTCCTGTACCAAGAAGCAAGTTTGAAATTTTAATAGATCTTACTAACTTACCTTTGAAAGTGCTGGTACATTTTACATTCTTACCAGTCTTTAATAAAGGTACTAATTTTCTCCATAACCTTGTCAACACTAAATAATATCAGACTTAAAATTTTTTTTACCAATCTTGAATTATTGCTCATGAGATGGAGCTTCTTTTGGCATGTTTGTTGAGGTTTTTCTCCTGTGGATGGACTCTTTATCTCCTTTTTACATTTTTTTTTAAAGATTTTTTTTTTTTTTTAACATGTCTTTATCGATTTCAGAGAGAGGAAGGGAGAGGGAGAGGAGAGATAGAAACATCAATAATGAGAGAGTCATTGATCACCTGCCTCCTGCACGCCTCCCACTGGGGATTGATCCCACAACCCGGGCATGTGCCCTGACCTGGAATTGAACCTCGAGCTCCTGGATCCTAGGTCGTTGCTCAACCGCTGACCCACTCCCGACCGGGCTATGTGATTTCTTAATGATTGTTGGAATTCTGTATGCTTATGGATATTTATTATTGGTTAGTAATTGTTAAAAATAAGACCTTTTACTGTGTTCTTTTTCTTTTAACTTTGCTTCAAATTACTACAGCTTTATATTTTATAATTATATATGTTACTCTATTTTTATAATATATTTTGTCCTACCTTTTTCTCTCTTCTTTTACAAAGTTACCTTGGCTATTCTTGTGCCTTTTCTCTTCTGTTTGAGTTTTAGAAATGTGAATTGCCTATTAACTCATCATGTTTCATAAACCTTTTTGGGATTTTGAACGGAATTGCATTGAGTTAAAGATTATTTTGCTTTCTCAGGGGAGTAGTTCTATTTAAAATAAGCCTTGCCCGACCGGGCGTGACTTAGCAGTTGAGCATTGACCTAGTATCCAGGAGATCGAGGTGTGATTTCCAATCAGGGTACATGCCCAGGTTGTGAGCTTGATCTCCAGTAGGGGGCGTGCAAGAGGCAGCCCATCAATGATGACTCATCATTGATGTTTCAACTCTCTCTCTTGTCTCTCTTCCTCTCTCTGAAATCAATAAAATATATTTTAAAAATAAAATAAGCCTCACTTTGAATAACATGGGATAGCTATAAATTGTATTTCTCGTTTTCTAGATTTAGATGAGATACTTAAAATTGATTTTTCTTCTTCTTAGTTTAAAATTGATTGTTAGAAGTTATATTCTTCTCATACTTACATAGGAAGATGACATTTGGAAGAGTCAGTGATGTGGGGCAGTTCATCCGAGAATCTGAGCCTGAACCTGATGTAAAGAAATCAAAAGGTTTGTGCTATTTTTATACTTCATATTAAGCCTTTACTCACATTAGTCATTGACTATAAGCGAAGGATGGTTTAAGATTTAAACTGTTTATTTTGTGAAATAATTGCCAAATATTTCACCTTGCTATTTATAGTCACAAGTGAGTACAAGGACTTCATGTAATCACATCTCTTTATAGTATCTCTCTCTGAATCAAAGTTATTGAACTTGCTTTACCATTCAGAAGACACACCTATATGAAAAAATATTCATCACCTTTTTATTTAATAATGAAATACCCAATCAAGATTTGACTTGAGGTTTATCTTGAGACCCTTTATCTTATTAAATTTCTTTGGAATTGCTGAAAGTTATTATGAAATATATGTGGAAAGCCTTAACGGGTGAAATTCAAATCCTTTGTTTAATTGGCAGAAGAGTACTTGATTAATTCTAAGAGTTAAACACAAATCCTTTTTGATGAATGCATTTTTTGTGACTAATTTCAGCTTCCAAACAATTGGTTTACACAGGAAGATTTTGGAAATCAATGTGGATCCATTCAGATGATATCTAGAAATTTTTCAGTATGATTGGACTGACTGTATTGTTTTGAGTAAAAGATACTAACTTTTATAAGAAGAAAACTCTCCATTTTGATGTGTGTTTAAAATTAATTTTTCTATTGAATTTAATAGTACTGCATTCCTATTTTTATCTTATTTTTTAATGCAACTGTTGTTTGGCTAATGAATCATACCACTTATGTTGATGAACAGTCTCCTTTTAGATTAGATATACACTGACAGAGTATGAAAAAAATAGTTATTAAAGTAATATATACCAAAAAAAGGACTTGTTACCTTTTTGACCTTATTAGTTTATCCAGACAATTGATTTTTCCTGTTTTGCCAATGAAGCTGAGCTACACAGTTGGAGAAAATGTAAAGACTGAAGAAAGTAAACACTTAATTCAGTAAAAACTCATATGCCCAGGGCAGGTTAGCAGATGCACATCTTGCCATTAAGAAACTTACAGTCATCTGGCCGGGCGTGGCTCAGCGGTTGAGCGTTGACCTGGGATCCAGGCAATCAGGGTTCGATTCCTGGTCAGGGCACATGCCTGGGTTGCAGGCTCGATCAAAGATTCTCTCATCATTGATGTTTCTGTCTCTCTCTCTCCCTCTCCTTTCCTCTCTCTGAAATCAATAAAGATACATTTAAAAAAAAAAAAAAGAAACTTACAGTCATCCAGCCGGGCGTGGCTCAGCAGTTGAGCATCGACCTAGGATCCAGGAGCTCGAGGTTTGATTCCCGGTCAGGGCACATGCCCAGGTTGTGGGCTCAATCCCCAGTTAGGAGCGTGCAGGAGGCAGCCGATCAATGACTCTCACCATTGATGTTTCTGTCTCTGTCTCTCCCTCTCCCTTCCTCTCTCTGAAATCAATAAAGATATGTTTAAATAAAAAAAGAAACTTATAGTCTTGTAGTGTCTTTTATTGGGTAAAAGATGAATACTAGGGAGTGGTCACTGGTGGCCCTGGAGCAGGGAAAGTGGTAGACAACCTCTGAGAGGTATTGGCAGGAAGTACTCTGCATTGTAGAGGAGCTTCTGTCAGCGGGGATCCTGGAGTCTCCAGAATTCATAGAATCTCTGAGCTGTCTGGTTTTTTCTTTTTTGTTTGTTTGCTATTTAAATGTGTTTTTATTGATTGCAGAGAGAGGAAGGGACGGGGGGGGGGAGAGAAACATTCTGTTTCTCTCTGTTTGGTTTTTTAAAGCTGGTCTTATTGCTCTGACAGTTCATGAGGAAGGTTTAGTGGTCCAGAGTATCAGTGTTGGGTGTTTGCAGTTTGTTTTTGTTTGTCTTATTTGAATTAAAGTATATTCTAAATAGTTAAAGATACATAAGAAAAATTTCCCCAAACCAATATCTCTGCTCCTTCTATTTAGTCTCTTCATTTTATTTATTCATTCATTCTAAAATTTGAAAGCCTGCTATATGCATCTACTATTCTAGGTGTTGGGAAGAAAATTCTTGCCCTCAAGGAGCTTACATGACGGTGGAGGAGACAGTAAATAGATAAACAAATGCAGTGTATGTGCGTGCGTTTATATACTTACGCATAAACATGTGCAAGCCGAGCTGGAAGAGTGGGAGAGCTGTGTTGGCAGCTGTTGTCAGGAAAGGTCTCGCTGAGGAGGTAGCATTTTGAGCAGAGACCCAAGCAAAATGGGGCAGTAAGCCTTGGCAGCTTCTGGAGGAAGGGCGTTCTTGGCAGAAGGAACTAGAATAGAGGCCTGAAACCTAACAGCTCGGCGTGATCGAGGAGGAGCAGACCGCGTCCCGAAACCGGGAGGGAGGCTCGGCGGGCGGTGGGGCTGGGAAGGTTACCACAAACCATGGCGCAGACTTTAAAATGTAGGGGACACGTGGCAGGTTGGAGCAGGGAAGTAACATGACGTGATTTATGTTTTCAAGGGTTGACTCTAACGTGTTTGGAAAACGGAGTGTAGGAGTTTGGAGGCGAAGCAGGGCGGGCGGGGCGGG